GGATAGTATCACTATGTATTTCATTGTGGGATTTCCTAGGTTAACTAGGAATAGTGATGCTATCTGGGTGATTGTTGATCGGCTGACCAAGTGTGCACATTTCTTGCCTGTCAATATCAAGTGGTCCTTTGAGAAGCTGACGTAGTTGTATGTGAGGAAAATAGTACGGTTGCACGGGGTGCCTTCCAATATTATTTCAGACAGAGATCCAAGGTTCACTTCCATATTTTGGCAGAGTCTACATCAAGCCCTAGGCACAAAGTTGAGGTTGAGTTCTACTTATCATCCACAGACGGATGGTCAGTTAGAGAGGACAATTTAGTCATGGGAGGATCTGTTGAGGGCTTGTGTGTTAGACCACTTGGAAAGCTGAGAGGAAGTCCTACCACTGGTGGAGTTCACGTACAATAATAGCTTTCATGCTAGTATTGGGATGGCGCCATTTAAAGCACTGTATGGTAGGAAGTGTATGACTCCTCTGTGTTGGTATCAAGATGGTGAGTCAGTGGTTATGGGGCCAGAGCTGATCCTATAGACTACTGACAAGTCGCCTGTAGTTGTGGTTGATTACAAGTTGAAGGAGTTGAGAGGCAAGTCTATCGACTTGGTGAAAGTGTTGTGGGATGCAGCTACAGGTGAGGCTACTTGGAAAGTTGAGCAGCAGTGCAGAGAGTAGTATCCTTCCTTATTCCCAAGTAAGTCTATTTTCGGGGACAAAAATTCCTGTTGTTGGGGAGGTTGTGAGACCCGCTCCCTCCTTCTTCCCCCTTCCTCTCAACCCTCGTCATTTTCCTTTCTCCATTCACTCTCTTGTTCTCTCATTCTCTTCCATTTCTCTTAGGTTGAGGCAGTGAGCTAAGGTGGTCCTTTTCTTGTGGAGCTAGCAGAGAGCGGAGCTTTCTCTTTTTCTCCTTCTTCCTCTTCCTCATCCCGGAAGCTCGGAATCTTCTCCTCCGAGGTAAGGGAAGTTAGATTTCTTACAGATTGTTTGGAAATGAGTTTAATAACTCAAATGTTGTTTGATTTCTGGAGATTGATGGTCGGATTGATGAGTTGTGCATTTTTGGGGTTACGGGAAAATTGAGAAAAATGGGGATTTTTACATGTTTGATGGTTGCATGTTGAAAAAGAGATGGTTTTTGAGTTGTATGTTGTAAATGTAGTTCATTTGATGGATTGCATGTGTTTGAGTTGGCTGATTTTGCAGGTTTTGGGTGAAATTTTTGAAGTGGTGAGGGTTACTGTTTAAAATTGCGCCGGGCCCAGTTCTTCGCGCCGGGCGTGATTTAAATGGGGAATCCCTGGGTGAATCACGCCGGGCGTGGGGAGAACCACGCTGGGCGCACTATCAGATGTGAATCTTATGTTTTTGTTACTGATATTGCACCGGGCGCAGGATAATTGTGTCGGGCTCAGGTCTCAGGTTGAGTTTGCGCCGGGCGTGATTTTAATGTGCCGGGCGTGAGTATGTTGGTCTTTGAGTCTTCATGAAAGTTGTAGCCTTGGATTTTATCTTTCCAATGACGCTAGAATCACCCAAAAAGGAGTTCTAGAACTCCAGATATGGCTGTTTTAGTGAAGAGGAGTCAAGCTGCCAGCATTGGTTATAGCTGTTGCGGTTTTTAGAATTGTTAACAAGGTAGATGAAGGAATTAGGATTTTGTGTCTTCATAAGACTTGTAGAAAATCGTCTTATCTTTCATATGAGATATGGATGAGCATGGTAGACGTAGTATAACTTCTGATATGCTATTTTATGTGAAGGTGTTGTGCTGCATGCTGATATAAACTGTTGTAGGCCGTAAGGCTGAGCTGTTGTAGGTCGTAAGGCTGAGCTGTTGTAGGCCGTAAGGCTGAGCTGTTGTAGGCCGTAAGGCTGAACTATTGATCACTAAGACTAGAGGAGATGTTTTTTTTTCGAAATTGCTCATCCCATTGTGTGGATTGAGGTAGCTGTGGTGCTCTTAGAGCCCAATTTGTTGAAAACCCTCCCTGGAAAGCTGACCCTTGGAGTGGTAACTATGCTGTTCTCCTCTAAGTTCTTAGTGGTCCCGTGTGTGGGCAAGGTCGAGGCACACATGTACAAAGCGACCACGGTATAAGGGTCAGGTCGAGCTATACCGCTTACAAGCGACCAAATCTAGCTGATATGCATGACGACGCATTGTGTGTTTACTGCTGTTCATGCTGTATTCTGTGACATATTATATGCTGATGTTGCTGAACTAGACGATATGCTGTTAGCTGTAGCTATTTTTACCTTTCATGTATTCTTATATATATGTATGCTGGTTCTTTTCACTAGCTTACCCTTTGTTGTTTCCATGTGATTTGGACTGCAATGATCATACTATGTATGGGAACAGGGCAGGGTTAGGTTGGTTAGTTGAGACGGGTCTGCAGCTGGCAGATGGAGTTTATTCTTTTGGATGTTTTGCTGTTTTAGCTACATAGTGTAGCAATTGGGCTGTAGTTTATATATACTCTGATTCTTAGCCCTAGATTGGATCTTGTGTATATATTTTAGTGGTTTATATATATATACTTGCTCTTTTATGTGCGATACTGTTTTGTTGTACTCTGTGTGGTGACTAGCCGGGTTGTTACATAAATAATATCTAGTATTAAAATAATTATTATATGCTAATATTAATAAAATTAAAAATAATTTCAAAAGTTCATAAAACAAAAATAATAAGTCATAAATTAGCAACATAAGTCAAACTGAAACTTGATGATTTTTTATCTTCTTTTTCTTATTTTGTTCGAAAGGTTAAAATATCTCTTTTTTATTCTTTTAACACCGACTTAACGAAAATAAATAATTTAGTTCCCTAAGTTCTAAGCAAAATTGGATAATAGCAGAACTTGAATCACGGGCTGAGTTGTTGAACTACTTATTTAGGGCCCATTTCCTTCTTGCCTCCCATGATATATACACCTCCTTTTTTTTCTTCTTTTTTTTATAAGCACATCTCCTTTATTTTTTAAAAAAATTATAAAATATTGTAATTTTTTTAAAATTTTTTAATTTTATACCTCTAACTTTCAATTTGTTACTTTTTTCTTCTTTTTTATACACTTTTTTTTTCTCTTTTAGTTTTTAAATATTATCAAAATAGGTGGATAAAAAAAAGGTAAGAAAGTACATATAAAAATTGAAAAAATGAGGAAAGATATGTGAAAAGAAATATTAAATTAAATGTTATGGATGTAAAATTAAAAAATTAAAAATTAAAAATTAAAATTATTTTAAAATTTTAATTATTTAAAAAAAAAAGAAGTGTACTTATTAAAAAAGAGAGGTGTATATATCATAAACCTATTGTTAATTGCCGATCTGCTCCAATTCTGAAGAAGGCCCATCCAAAGTCATCTGTGAAGGCCCATAATACTTGGTGAAAATGGGCCTCTTAACACAGGTAGGGATAACAAAGCCCACAAACCGGTTACTCTCTCTTTCTGCAAAACAAAAGGAAACCCTAGCAGTATCACACTCTAACAGAGCCATAACATAACCTCTTTGAAAGTCGCCGCTTGCTTTCTCCTCGTTCGCATCTTCACCCTCTCTCTCAGGTTCTCTCTCTCTCTCTCTCTTCTTCTTCTCTGCGTCTTTGTATTCTTATATTTTTGTGACTGTTACTTACAGTGCGTGATTTTGCAGAACGATGAAGGTGATCGCCGCGTATTTGTTGGCCGTGCTCGGAGGCAACACCAGCCCCTCCGCCGCTGACATCAAGGAAATCCTTGGCTGTGGTACGCTGCATTCTTATCTTCCATCAAAATCTTATTTTTATTTTAATTGTTTTATGTGTTGAATATCTTATTCTAATTAATTAGGTTTAGGTATGAGTGTGAATTTGTGCTGCTCTTAAGTAGGTTTAGGTTGAGATTTACTTGCCCCAATTGATTTTGGTTCATTGGTGCCAAAATTGGTAAACGGGTTCGTTTTATTTTGTTATGTATTAGTTTTGATGGGTATATATTGTGGAGAGGTTCATGAAGCTGAGGAATGGTGTTTTAATTTTTTAATTTGCAGTTGGAGCAGATGCCAATGATGATAGGATTGAACAATTGTTGTCTGAAATTAAGGGTAGAGATATAGTGGAGGTCATTGCTGCCGGTAGGGAAAAGCTGGCCTCAGTGCCTGCTGGTGGTGGTGGTGCTGTTGCTGTTGCGGCCGCT